CCCCAAAACCCCAAAACCCCAAAACCCCAAAACCCCATTGAGTTAGATTTAGCTGAGAAGTAGATATTTTAAATATATCGTTAATATAATAAATTCAAATGTCTTCATCAAAGGCTACTTCGCAACTCATGCTTAAGCATGCTCGCAAGGAACAGTAATTCACAGAAGTACTTATATTATTTGGCCTCTAATTGATAATAGAGAACAATAGACAGTGAGTAGTATCCCAATTATAGTAGATACGATAAAATTTCACATGGTACAGTCAAAGAAACTCCATAATCTCCAAAGAGGTCAAATAAGATGCAAGAATATTCACCTTATGATGATCAAGAGGACTAGTAGTATGACTTTCAAAGAAGAGGAGGAGGCCCAGGGTAAAATCATAGAGAAAGCTCTGGTTCCATAGACTCCTAAGAAGAATCCAAGGCTTCTGAGTATCCTCCTAGATAAAATGCATATCGATCATTCGTAATTTCACATTTTTCTTTGATTTATCCAATATAAATAGAATAAAGATAAAAATTCCTTATAACAAAAAAGAAACAGCAAGCAAACTATAGAGAGTATGAAATAACAAACATTGAAGTCAAGAGATTCTTATAACCCTAATAAATTTTAAAATGCTACTTCAGAGAAAGAAAACACCAGAAATTAGCACATTAATAACTAAGTATTAGTCAAGAAGCCTGTCTAGGATAACAATAACAAATCAAGATAGAGAAATAATTCATAGCAAAGTGCAGGCAGGTCAGATTCTTCTTCAGGATCATCACTATCATCACTATCTAATTCTAGAAGTCCAATTAACCATCGAAGACAAAAATCTACTTTAAGAGCTAGATCCAAATCTGTAAAAAAGAATATGAGCAAGACTGTGGTAGGTGCAAATGCTGCAGCCGCTGTAGGACTAGCGAATAATCATTAGCATCATCATCACTAGATAAATAATTCTTAGAGTCACACTCATCTACATCAAACAGGTCACAAGCGTTAGGGTAGTCAAGGTAAGAAGGATAAAAAGACTACAAAGAAGGATGCTCTTGATAAGAAAACTGACAGTAATCTTGTCTAGAGACTCTTACTCGATATTACTGAGAAATATAAGGGACTTAATGGGGCTTAGAGCAGTTGCTATATAAATAAACTCGAGAAAAAGACTATGGTACATGAAATTAATGTATTAGCTAAAGCGCTGATCAAGAATGAAAAGAAGCTCGTGAAGTTACAGGAGAGCTCAAAGTAAAAAGCTAAGGAATATAAAAAGGTTATTAAGAACTAGGAAAGAGATCTCTAATCCTAGGAATAAGAAATATTGTAATTAAATGATCATGTAAAATAACTTAAAAACAATGAGGATCATTTGATCCATGATCTTGTAAAACAATAAAAAATTGCCAAGGACTCCTTAAGAGCTCTTGATAACTTAAGTGATAAATATGATAAGGAGAAGCGTGAACTTATAGTAAGACTTGAAAGAGAGAAAGAAGATGCACTTAAGAGAGAAGATTAAAAGTATGAAATTAAGATTCAATCAATCAAGGCCCTTAACGATTAACTTAACAATAAACTAGGTACTCTTCATGAAACTGAAGATGATTTCTCAGCATTGCAGAAAAATTACAATGAGGCAATTGGTATTATAGAAGATTAAAAAAGAGAATTGTAGCAAGCATTGAGAGATATTGATGATTTAAGGACAAGAAATGGTTAACTAGAAGATGAAGTAAAAGATATCCAAGGAATGCTCTAAGAACAGTAGAGGATATATTCTACTCATATTAATGAGTTGAGGATTTAACTTAATGAATTGGAGGAAGCTACAAGGAATAAGTACGAGGAACAGATCATTGCTCTACAATTAGACTTGAAGATGAAATAAGAGTAATTAAATCGATAGGTTTAGGAAAGAGAGCTTTTAGAGAGAAAAATGAAATAAAAGTTAGATGAAGCTGGTCAAAGTACAAAAATGGTGTAAAGAGAAGTTAACGAAAGAGAAGAGTAAAGGGAAGAGCTGCAAAGATAGCTTAAAAACTAAGAGTTCGAAATTGAAAAGATGAAGCGAATCATAGCAAACAAAGAGGAAGAATTGGAGGTAGAAAAGAAGAGGTTTAACTAAAAATGGGAACGCAAGAGTGAGGAATAGGAAAGAGAGAAACAAGAGTGGAATGATATGTACCAAGCACTCTAAAAAGAAATAGGACATCTAAAGTTATAGCTTTAAGAGAAGGATAATCAATTGTAGTCAACATTGAGAAGATCAGCTGAAGGTCTAGGCAGTTACAAGAGTAGCCAACTGTAGTCACCAAATAGTAAAATCTATGTGGATAGCTCAAATAATCAAATAATAGAACTGCAAGAATAACTTAAAACCAAAGAAGAAGAAATTAAGATACTTTGGAACGTCATTAAAGAGATTAACAAGAGCAAGGGTACGGAAAAAGTGAGCATGGAGCAACTAAGATATGCAATATCATAGAAAATGAATTAGAATTTATGATGACTTAATAAATATAAGATATATATACTCTCTATCTCTCTTTCTTATTGCTTTATTCACTCAACAATACGAGACAACTTCAAAAACCTTATTAACTCTACTAATTCTTTAAATCTTATCTCACTTCAAACATTAGTCCTTCTCCTTTAGAATTTGGACCTATAAATGATTAGATAATGTAGATACTTACAGAATGGAAATGGCCATAAAAGCATATTACTTCCAAGAACAGTTTAAAGATTGCCAAACTTGCCAATATTGTAGGGGGAGATTCTGAAGGTTGAGTCATCTTCTCTCTTTTTCTCGCAAAATTCAATAGTAGTGTATTGATTGAGGATGAGATAAATATGGAAACTGAAAAATGCCGAGATCACCACAGCTAATGAAGTGCCTAGTATGTAGGAAGTGATTATGTAATAGGCAAGTCTGTAGTCAATGGTCTCAGAGCTCATTACTTCTTGCACCATTGGGTAAGCTGTCCAGATAATCAGCCATACAGTAACTGCTGTGTAGAAAAGCATATTGATGAAGTACTTGTAATTGTAAAATCCGATACAATTTGCAACCCAGGGACAGTGATGATCCATTTTCAACACACATTTGTTGCATTATGAGCAATGATGGCATCGATCAGGCTAATCAATTATTGTTACTAAAAATAGTTATGTTTTACTTTAGTTCTGAGACATCTTTGGCACATACGAATGCCTCCAAATTTCTTCCTTTCAATTGAGAATATTGGTCTAGGGGGGTTCTTCTTACCTTTCAAAAGCTTTTCTTTTTCCGCGTCACTCTCACCTTTTATTGATTATGCCACTGGCTTTGCCAAGGGACCCTCAGTAGATTTCAAATATTTATAGTCCAAATGAGCTGCTTCCTTTGGCTCTTCAGTGTCTTCTTCGATACCAAAGTTTGTCAAAGGACTAAAGATACATCAAGTTAAAATATATATTTTTCGAGATAATGCATTGATATACTAAATAACTATTTATATGACTTACTCATTTGGTTTATCTTATTTGCTTTCAGAGATCATACTCTCATCCTCGCTACTATTTTCAATCATGCTATCGCTTTACATGTCCCATTCATTATCCTCAGGAATACTTCCAGGAGAAGTTCTGATAGTTTGAACAATCGAAAGACAAAGCATTAGCGCGAGGAAACTAAAAACACCCAATAAAACTGTGGCTTTTTTATAGGCGGCCTCCCTCTCTACTGAATCTTTCCACAAATTCGGAATACCCATCAGAGTGTCGAAATTCCCTGCCATGCATGGATATATGTAAAACTAAATTCTCATTCAATCTTTTAACTTATTTTTCTTACACCGACATAGAAGCTACCAAGATAACTGTAGAGCCCGAAAGTCACAAAGACAGGGAATATAGATACGAACTTATATAAGTTTATCTCTATTTTCTCCCATGTGCTAATTTATTCTGCCTGCATCCAGGGAGGCTATGTGGTTTTATTGCTAGTGCCATTGCCTTTCTGGATATTCATTCGACTTTGGTCCCTCTTGTCGTCCTCACTCATGTCGCTGTACCCCTAAGGCTGATGCTGAGCGTCCCTATTCTAGTGGCGTTGTTGCTCTTGCATATTATTTTAGAATGAATATAATAAGTCATTATTTTAAACGTACAAAATAATTAATTCTGATTTTCTAGCTTATTTTGTTGTCTCGGGGTTTTGGGGTTTTGGGGTTTTGGGG